TCAGATATTCTGTGTCTTATTTTCTATCCCTTTCTTAATAATTCCTAGCATCCTATTTGCCTTTTTGACCGCCGCTGCACTCTGTGTGGAAGTTTTCAGAGAACTGTCCATGATAACTCCAAGATCTCTTTCCTGATTTGTTGTAGCCAAATTAGCCCCCATCATACTGTACGTGTAGTTGGGGTTATTTTTCCCGATGTGCATTACTTTACACTTATCCACATTAAATTTCATTTGCCATTTTGTTGCCCAATCACTCAGTTTGGTGAGATCTTCTTGGAGTCCCTCACAGTCTGCTTCTGTCTTGACTATCCTAAACAGTTTGGTATCATCTGCAAACTTTACCACCTCACTGCTTACCCCTTTCTCCAGATCATTTATGAATAAGTTGAAAAGGATTGGTCCCAGGACTGACCCTTGGGGGACACCACTAGTTACCCCTCTCCATTCTGAAAATTTACCATTTATTCCTACCCTTTGTTTCCTGTCTTTTAACCAGTTCTCAATCCAAGAAATGACCTTCCCTCTTATCCCATGGCAATGTAATTTACACAAGAGCCTTTGGTGAGGGACCTTGTCAAAGGCTTTCTGAAAATCTATATCTACTGGTTCCCCCTTGTCTGCATGTTTGTTAACCCCTTCAAAGAACTCTAATAGATTAGTAAAACATGATTTCCCTTTACAGAAACCATGTTGACTTTTGTCCAACAAATTATGTTCTTCTACTGCCTCACAATTTTATTCTTTACTATTGTTTCGACTAATTTACCCGGTACTGAAGTTAGAGATGGATTATATGTGAGGATTGGATTATATTTAAGTATGGATTATAGTATGAGGATTAGCAAGGTATTACTGTATTTGTTTTAGAGCACAAAATTTTGCATGAAATCTGTTACATTTTTGAATGTCAAAATCTAAACTCGAGCCAACTTTTTTAATAGTGATCTATTCAAAAAATATCCTGAAAGCACTGCTCACAAAAAGAAATGACATTATTTTGAATGCAAAGACAGGGGAAGGACAAAGCCGGAGAAACAGATGCTGCGAGTGATTTGCAATATTTTCTATGGAAAAGAAATGTCCATTGGTTCACATTTCCCTCCTAAACACATCAAGTAGGTGGCAAGCTTTGTGATGCTGATTCCGATGTGAAAATGTCAGATTATATAACAAGCCTTATTACAAGCAGCCAGCCTGCTCCCTGGACCATCTGCCTTGAACAGCTCTTATTCTTGTGTGGCCCACTAGCAGAACTGGCACAAAGTGGATTTAACAATCCAAAGGAGAAGATGCTAATCCATACATCCATATGTGCTTCCTGAGCCAAGTCAAGTTTAAATGAACACTATGCATAAATTGCAACATTCAAGTTCAAACACAGGCCAGGATCTCAGCTGAACTACAAAAATATAAAGCAGAGGTTTTCCATAAATACTAAAATCTTGAGAAGAAAGTCATTTTCATAACAAGATTTTACTGCCTATGCAGTTATATAGACATTACACAATGCCTGGTGTGGTGTAATATTTACCTATGTTACACAGTGCTATGAAATAATATCTTACTGCAGGATACATTGAGAAGCAGCAAATCCCAGAAACCATCTGTGCAAATATATACCCATCATCTGTGGCTACAGAGGAAATAAAGATGAGCTTAGATTGAATACTAGTTAAAAACAGATAATAGGCTAAATCAAAGGGAATTACCACATCAGAGAAGTCAGTGTCCTATGATTATTTAAAATTACACACTGTTTTGACTATGAAAAGTTATGAAACTTGGTGTACAAACATACAAAGAGTGCACCTGTGCCAGCAAAATATTTTTATAAAACTACACTCAGTCCCTAACAAACTCGCTTGTTAAAAGACTAAAAGAGGGGCGGGGGAGGGGGCAAGTATAAGGAAGTAGAAAAGCTACAAAGCGTTCACCTTTCATTTACACCATAGGCCAGAATGGGTCTGTGGGTTTCTTTGCTGGGAGATCAAGACCCCTGACTCCATAAACTCTACCCAGTTTGACTCAAGCAAACAGCGCTGGAGCCTTCCTGCGCGTGCTACTGGCAGAGGGGGGGCCAGAACAGGGTCCTGCCGCTAGACGGCTCCCTGGGGCTGGGCAGCCAATAAAGTCTAACTGTGAAATGAGACGGACGGGGCGCACTGCGAGGCTGGAGCGGGGCGGGGGCTGCCCGCGCTAGAAGGCAGCGCGCTACCTGCCGCATGCCAGTCCCCTCCACCCCGAGCCGTGGCCGGTGTCAGGCTAAGCTCCAGCTGAAACCAATGACCGGGCGCTACTGACTCGCGCCCTCCAGCCCCGTGAGGGCGATTTTCCAACCTAGTGCCCCCGCCGTGGCTTTTACCATCTCCGGCCTTTGAGCCAACGCCTTGCCAAGGGGCCGGGGATTAGAAGCAGGCGACTGATTGGAGGCGAATCGATTGAGGCTCGACAGTTTAAGATGGCACTTTTATGAAAGGCTGGCGGGGATTATCTCTCCTCCCCCAGCGCGCGGGGTGGGTGTGACCGGCCACGAGTCTCCTGAAGCTGCTGGCAGCCTCCCGAGGATGGGAAACTTGAACCAACTTTCCAGCTCCCGGGTCCCATCCTCACTGAGAAGCCTCCAAACCTGCCCCCGCTGCCGAGGCAGCCCGAGCCCC